AATTTCATAGGGTAGGTTTTTGGACAATCCAAGGTGATTGGTAAGGTCAGATTGGGCCAACTATGCCATGACCGAAAGGATTTGGAATCCGATCAATCTAAAGTCTCGAAACAGAATCTAGGTGTGATGGATGGGTAAACAAAGGTGTTTCGGGCTGAAATTTTACCGGTGAGTATTTGGAACTGTTAGGGATCTAATGGTGATGTCTAATTAGTCTTGAAGGGTCAAGATCATAGGAAGTTGGGTCAATAGGATGTTTCGGAACGAAATCTTGGTTTGATGAAAAAGCAAACGAGAGGCATCATAATAGCCTCTCATTTATGGGCAGGTGTTTTGATGTATCCAGAGTTTAGTGGTGTGGTTTGATCTGTTTGGATGTGTTAAGATCAAGGGAATCTGAATTCTGAGTGTTTAGGCTAACGAGAGGCATCATAATAGAATCTTCACTTGATAAAGGGGTAAACGAAGGAATCTTGAGATGAAATTTTATAATAGGTATTTTAAAAGGTCTTGAGTCCGATGGTGGTGTCTAATCTAAGGATCAAAGTGTAGGAAGGGGTTGATCGGGGCCATCGGATTGGTATCAGATGGGTTAAACAATGGATTTAAGGGCTTTGGGGATGAAAGTTATGATTTTTGGTTTTTGGGTGTTTCGAAGAGATTGAGAGGGTTTGATCGGTCATTTAGGGTAAATTAGGGGTTTAAGCAATGGACCAGCAAAAATCATGTATTGATAATAGATAAATAGCTGATGCATGAGACCACACGTTGCATTCCTATTCCTGTTATCACATCCTTTACCATCTCGAACAGCTTGGCATTTACTAACTTGACCATTGGAATCGGAATCCATAACCTAAGACACCAACCTGGGCCCTCTGCATTGTCCTTCTTGAAGATCTTGCTGCCAGAAATCCACCTGAGTTCGAGGTTTCCACCAGGGATCAAGTTTTCTAGTTTTGATCTTCATCAAGTATCAATCATTTAATCATTAAGACACATTAAGTATCATTTTATTAATGTTTTTAAGTAATGAATAGCCTTACTAAAAAATTAAACAAACAGTAATAAGATACATATTTCTATAATTCTAGGGAGAAAAACAATTACATTAAAGGATAAAATAGAAAAAATAAATGCTGCATGCATATTTCCCTTTTCCTACATTCTTTCTTCCCCATACCTGTTATTCTAGTTTATACTCGTGAAAGATTTTTTTAATTTATTTTGCAAGCTCAATTAATGAATCTAGGTTTTTATTTTTATTTGGCCTTTTCTTTTTGTCACATTTATAGACATTGTAGCTTTAGTCGTGCCTTACTGTCTTTTACATTGTTACCAAAAACACTTCAAAACAAGTGAGTCCAACCATGCGAAACACTTAATGGACGCACGTGCCGACATCTGCCCTTGCCACTACGCCATCTTCTGTCATGCTGATGATGTTCTTTCCAATCTCAAATCCACCGAAACTGCTAACACCCAAAACTTTTAAACGAGGTGCCATGAGAAATGACACACCATCTAACATACCCTATCACTTTGATTTTGTCAAGTTTCTCTTCAATTTCTTACTCATTTTACTATTGCTTAAATCACCAAATCATGTCCTCGCACTATTCAACACAGATATTTAGCACCCATCATATCTAGCTGTTAAGATAATAAGGTCCCTCATTTGACAGCTTTTAAGTTTTTAGGTTGAATGGTTCTTTAATTTAATATAGTATCGTGATATGTCTGATTATATAGTTAATGTTCAATACTTGTTGTCCCCATTATATTAAATTACACTTCAACAGACAAGGTATGGATAAGTTTGTGCTTGTCCACAACTTCAAGCCTGATGGGCTATACTAGGGGGACTTTTGCAATTTAAAACTAGTTTTTGTATTTTTTGATGGCTAAAAGAAATTCTCCTTAGAAAAAAAAAAGGAACGGTAGAGAAGGAAGAAAACCCTATACTCTAACAATTCATACAAATCTTTAGTACTGGTCATATATTTCAAGAACCCTAAATAGTGGGGTTTGCTACTCATAGAGTGCACCTCACAGCACATGCATCCCACCATGTATTAGGAACATCTATTCATGAATAGACACACATGTAGAAAATGGTCTTGATATATATATGTGGTTGGGACATGTTGTGAGATTGGTGTGAGGAGCGATCCAGACTCTTCAAAGACATACTATCCTTATTTTTCATGTATCAATCTCGTAGGCCAGGCTGGCTTTTATAACTTTAGTCCAAACTCCAACCATAAAAACAAAGGCAATGGCTATAGTCCGGGTGATGAAGAAGATTCATAACAGTTGATGGCTGTTCTTTGTCTGCTTCGTTGGCATCTATGTATATATTGTTCAAAACTAGTCTACGTTTTCCTATTTACTATATTGCCGTTTAGTGGTGAAGAAAGGAACTATTGTTCTGCCATTGTGGGCTTTTAAGAGGTTTGCTGTGCTTTGGGTCCTGCAACACAGGGCTTTGCACACAGTGAAAGATGCACGAAGAATCTAACAAATAATATATGATCTGAAAATGGACTCTCTGAGTCATCCATGTCCGTAGTTTCTCTGTCCACCTTGTAATACCAGTTTTTCGTTGAATTTTAAGAATCTTCCTTACAGGTAATAAGTTTAAACATATCTTCTCCTTTTCTCTTGCATGGCAAAGGACCCATTTGGCAGAGGCTAGAGAACATCCTAAAAAGGAAGAAAAAGAAAAAGAAGAGGAGCATGATGGGTCGCCACCTCCATCAATCTGGTGTCATGTTTCCAAACATTTGTACAACTAGGATTTTGCTGAAACGCACTCTGGATATCCTACCCAGTACCCACAAAATACTACATCATGCACCGGAAACATCGGGAACATCTCCCAATGCATAATAACATACAAGCATAGGAGATATTTCCTATGTGTGTGGGGTTCAACTATGAGACCAGAAAGACATGATACCAGAAAAACTTATATCCAATCAACTGGTATCATAAAATAGGTGACCAATCAGGTGGTGTTCACCACAATTCATGGGATGCTTTGATTGGTTAAATCTTTTCGGTACCATGCCTTTCCGTATCATAGATTTACTCGTATATGTGTGTGTGGCTGCCATGTCATGTGGGTGTGGATAGAGCTCTTGTGGGTAGGAGACCCGAGCTAGCTAAATTATAGAACCAGACTCTCTCTCTCTCTCTCTCAATCCATGATCCATGATCCATGACCCATCAATCTATCTAAATGAAATACCTTTTGTTCAAACGTATTTGGCTGCAAGGATGGAGCACAATGGGGAAGGGGTTTCTTTGATCAAGTGCCTTGATGTACTTGTTAGTTTAATGCATGGCTTTTTTAGTTCTTGTTATTGTGTGGATGGGATACCCCTCCACCAACCAAATAGTAGATTGCGTGTCCCTCGTGTTTTTTTTCCTTGAGATTTTTTTTTTTTTTTGTAAACATTGATGAGATCTATCAATACTTATCCCATAGCCAAATACACCCAGTATCTTGTATGTCTATGCATGTAAGAATTTATTGAGAAATGAATTATGGGAAAAAATCAAGAAGCCATACCAAAGTTGTAGGGTAGATTTCACTTTGAAACGACGACTTTGAGCTAGAGGATATGCCCAGGGCCTCTCACATGGGGAAGCCAAGTGGGATGCCAATTGGGCAGGGTTGGGTCCAACTAGGGTTGGCTCCAGAAGTGCCAACGTGTGTATCTGAGCTTGGTTGCATAATTATGGTTGACCGGTTGACCCAACTGCTGGAACAACCAGGCTGGATATATATATATATATATATATATATATATAAAAGGTCTTCTCTATACATTAAAAGACACTAATCTTTCAAACTAATTAAGGCTGCAACTGCTCATAGAATGAAGGAAAATGAATGGCTTCATTGGAAATGATGTTTCAATAGGAAGATGAATCCTATTCCTAATTAATTTTCCTGGTGTTTCACTTTCACCAAACTTGAAAAACAACCTGAATTGTTGAGAAACATATAGAGTGTACATTAATTGCAAGATATGGAATCAAGTGAATCAACCTCTGTGTTCTGAAAATGACTTCTATATGTAAAACTGAAGAGGAATATTTCCTACAATTGATACTCATCTTTCATAAATATTCAATTTCCACAGCCATTTTACGTGCAATAACCAATCACTATAAAATAGAAAATTTAAGAAATATATATAATTTGTTCTCCTTCATTTTAAGCTCAACCACAAGGAGATAGCCTAAGTCTTCCAAAAGTGGATTAGGTTTGGAAAGATACAACCCAAGTGACCAAATAGGTGAATTGGTTCTGTTCATGAATTGCCATATCCCTATCTTGAAAGGATGGTTTACTGGGAAATTAAGCTAGCCCTGTGCATGCACATGGGGCAAAGCCACACATTTGATGATGATGATCCCCATGGAAGTAAGTAATCTAAAAGTACTTTTCACACTTGAAATAGTCCTGATCAAATCATTATAACCATATGATCTAAAGATTGCATTCTACTTCTTTTGTTGATTAATTATCATTATCTTTCGAATCAAACCAACAGGATTTTCAGATGATTACAATCATCAAACTGGACTGTTGTTTGGTACAGGAGAAATTCTTAGTCAGATCCATCAAGAGCAGATCATAACCTTGCTTTGTGTTTGTGTCAACATTCAGTACTGAGTCATTTCTCTTGGAAAATGACTGATGAAGAAAGCATTGGTCCCAAAAGTGAAGAAAAGGAGGGGGAGAGAGAGGAGTAGACCAAGTCCTAGGGGCCAGTTGGCACCCGTTTGGTCTAATCATGTGAAGCAACAGGCCCACCTCCAAGAAAATCATTCACTCCATCTTCAACACAGACATTCATCTCCTCAGGGCCCCAACTTTTTCAGGCTAAAGAAAAATCTCTTTACTAGTTTACTTCCATCACTTTCCCATGCTTACTTTTGAAGAATGAGTATATGGAGTCTCTGATAAAAGAAGGCCTCGTGGGTCACCCCGCTCGTGCGTTGCATGCTAAGAAGGGCCCAATATACCTTACTGTAAAGCCAGTGAAATAAAGAAGAAAGTAATAGAAGAAGAAAGGCAACAGGAGAAGCACTTTCTCTATTGATTTAGTTATAAAAGTAATAAGACTTCCTCATTGTTCTCTCCACACTACTGAGCCTAGCAACAATGGCGTCCGAGAAGGTGGAGACCATAGTTGCAGGGAACTACCTTGAGATGGAAACTGAAGGCAGCTCTAAGTCTGCTAAGAGCAAATTATCAAGATTCTTCTGGCATGGTGGTTCTGTCTACGATGCATGGTTCAGCTGTGCTTCTAACCAGGTAACTATTGTTGTTTGCTTGGTTGAGTTCGTTCTGCGGAACAAGATTTGGTCATATATATTGTTGCTTATATATATGTGATTGTAGGTGGCGCAAGTTCTTCTCACCTTGCCTTATTCATTTTCACAACTGGGGATGTTGTCTGGGATTCTTTTTCAACTGTTTTATGGATTGATGGGGAGCTGGACTGCGTATCTTATAAGTGTACTTTATGTTGAGTACCGAACTAGAAAGGAGAGAGAGAAAGTAGATTTCAGGAACCACGTTATTCAGGTAAGAAAGCATAACATGCTGCATTATCGGTCCTTCTTCTCCATTGAATGAAATACCAAACAAGTCTTTCATTCTTCTCTATTGTCCACCAAATAAGAAGAAATCAGAAAAAAAAATAGATTCTTGAATTTTAACCAAAGATTCAAATAGTATCCTTGTTTTGGTGTCAGTTTTGGGTTAACTACTTTAATTCTCTGCAGTGGTTTGAAGTTCTTGATGGGCTTCTGGGGAAACATTGGAGGAACGTAGGCCTGTTTTTCAACTGCACTTTCCTGCTGTTTGGTTCTGTAATTCAGCTAATTGCTTGTGCAAGGTAATTTTAGACATTAATAAGAAGTTAAACCCAAAAACAAAAGATTATAATTTTGAATACTTTAATTGTAGTTGTGTTTTTCAACAAAAGAATTGAATCTGCATACTAATAATATACAGTTCACTGTTGCTTGACAATGCAGCAACATCTACTACATTAATGACAATCTTGACAAGAGAACATGGACTTACATCTTTGGCGCCTGCTGTGCTACCACTGCTTTCATCCCTTCATTCCATAATTACAGAATTTGGTCATTTTTGGGTCTCATGATGACAAGTTATACTGCATGGTACCTAACCATTGCTTCCCTAATCCATGGGCAGGTAAAACATTCTCTGCAATTTTCCATTTCAGTTTATAAAAGAGAAGAAATGATCCATTAATTGACCCTGTTTACATTTCATGGTCTCCTTTCTCTCTTTTCTAAAATTTATTTATTAATTGATTTCTTTTCCTTTTATTGTGGCATCTAAAGGTTGAAGGTGTGAAGCACTCAGGCCCAACGAAAATGGTCCTATATTTTACTGGGGCTACCAACATTCTGTACACCTTTGGAGGACATGCTGTCACAGTGTGAGGATTTATGAATACATGCATATAAATCACTGCATACATGAACATACATATCTGCCGACCTTCATACATCCATATATACAGATTAATATACTGGTTTTTGAGTAAATGGAATTTGATCATAACTTGGGGTTGACTGTAGGGAGATAATGCATGCCATGTGGAAGCCACAGAAGTTCAAGCTGCTTTACCTAATTGCAACACTCTATGTGCTAACCCTAACCCTACCATCGGCAATTTCTGTTTATTGGGCCTTTGGGGATATGCTCCTTAACCATTCCAATGCTTTCTCTTTGCTCCCAAAGTCTGGATTCAGAGACATTGCTGTGATTCTCATGCTCATACATCAGGTGAGCATTTCAAATTAAAACACCAGAAAGCACAAGCACATTATTAGAAATGGGTCTTCTTCATGACACACAAGTATATAATAAGTCTTGTCAGGCTTACTAATCATAGATCTCTGAAGCTTGAATTCATTCTGAAGTTACAAGTTTTCCAGTGACACTGTTTGGTTCTTGGTGCAGTTCATAACATTTGGATTTGCTTGCACTCCGCTCTACTTTGTGTGGGAAAAGTTGATAGGGATGCACAGCACCAAGAGCATATTCAAGAGGGCTCTCTCTAGACTACCTGTTGTGATTCCAATATGGTTCCTGGCAATCATATTTCCATTCTTTGGCCCCATCAACTCCACAGTTGGGTCTCTCCTCGTCAGCTTCACTGTCTACATAATCCCTTCCTTGGCACACATGATAACCTTTGCGCCTGCATCTGCAAGAGAGGTAATAATTAGGCATTTTAGTTCTTAATCACTGTTCTTAACCTTTCATTGATTAATGTGGACAGAGAGCAACACTATTTAGTGGAGAGATGGGCTTAAATCTGCATAGTCCTCAATTAGTAGCTTATTATTCTCTATATTTCTTTTTCAGAATGCAGTGGAGAGACCACCATCATTCCTAGGAGGCTGGGCTGGCTTATACTGCCTGAACATTTTCGTGGTAGTATGGGTTTTGGTGATAGGATTTGGATTTGGAGGGTGGGCCAGCATGATCAATTTCATACACCAAGTGGATACATTTGGTCTCTTCACTAAGTGCTACCAGTGTCCCTCACGCAAGGCTTAATAATATAGAGATCTCTACAAAGAAGAAAAGTTTGGAATTAATACATTTTATACAGTATGTAAAGGGATTGGTTTTGTAATTTGTGTGTTAACTATTCCTCTAAGAGAAAGTGTAACCCACCTTTTGGTTTTTGGAATTCTCCTAATTCTAGCTCTCTTCTATGTCGCTTACATGTAGTGATCTTTCTGCTGCTCACCTGGTTTTCCAAATTAGAAATGAATTAGGAGCTGCTATTGCCGCTCTTAGATCTTTTTGCTCAGGTCATTCATACAACTGCTCCAATTTAAAACACTGTCTTAAGACAGAAGGGTTCATTTAGTAAATAGGTGATCAGAAAGCTCATAGGGGAGTGGCTAGAGTTAAGAAAAGGAGCGTTCTCTCTGTCACAACCTATGTCATCTCAATGGACAATGGGACCTTAACTAGCCAACAAAATCTAGACGTCGCCTGATCGAAACCTTCATATGCTGAATTGCTAGCACATGGTTCCATGACAAATAGATAGAACAAATTAAAATTTGACCCTCTAGTGATTGGTTGGTGGCTACAGTGGGTAAGGGGACCTAACCGATTGGCCTTGCTCGTCGCATAGCATTGGGCCGATGTGATGGCGAAAGAGAAAGCTAAGGCGTCTAGAAATCTAGTTGGTCCGTTTCAATTTCACATTAATTCCTTTCTGCAATTCATCATCCAAGCCCATCTGATCTGACTAGTATATATACAAAGTACACCAATAGGGTCATTTCGGAGATTTCAAGCCAACTGGAGGACCATAAATTGAAAACCCATTTAGAAAAAATCAGAGATTAAGTGGTTTCTGTAGGATGTATACCCTACAGAAGTGCCATATCCCCCCCACCCCACCCCATGTGATAGGGGATCAATTAGTTGTTTGGCCCATGAATCAATAAAACAACGCAGGTGCCTATTACCTTTGTAGGTTTATTATTATGACTTTCTCAGTAGTTTGGCTAAACTGCTAAAGTGGCTTTTAATCCTTAGAGAGATGAGAATAACATGGAAAGGCTTAGAGTAGCTTTTTCCAACCTTCTCACTCTTTTCTTGGTGGGTTTATTATTATTATTATGACTTTCTCAGCAGTACTCTGCCAACCTTCTCACTCTTTTCTTCACAGTTTATATCAACTACCTCTACTTTTTAAGCTGTCCAAAGTAGCTTTTTCCTCCAAGGTCTAACTCAAAAGTCTCAAAGAACCCATTAATTAAAAGGTTACCAAGAATTAGTAAAGAGAGGTAGAAAAACAGTTCTGATCAGAAAAATTACTCTGTAGCTTACTGGTTTTGCATGAACCTGCAGATTGACCAGTTGGGGGGCATACTCAAACTATGTCGACCACCATAGTTTTCTTAGAGAATTTAAAGCAATTTGGTCACTGTCATGGATTTTTTTTTTCACCATATATAGCTAATGCATCTGCCTAATTCTTTAATTCTAGAGATAAATGGGAACCCCAAAAATACAAAAATAAAAAATAAAATAAAGAAAATAAAGAGAAAAGGGCAGCAAGTTCATGACAATTCATTCCTTACTACTTCACCTCTCTTTTATTTTTGCCAATCAAACATCGTCTTGGATGAACTGCATGCACAAAACTACGATCATATGCAGTTCATCTTCAAGCTCACCACTATACGTAGGTTATATTTATCTATTTATTATTTTAAGTGGGACCATACATCAAATGGTGGGTCCAAGTTCCATGTATCCTTGCCAGTTGGTTTCTCATAAAGAACATATCACAACTGTGATGAAAATCTATCATCACCTGCTCTCTTTGGAAAGTTATCCATGGAAGAAGAAGGTTTTCCGACTCATCTGCTGGCCAGTTCTTGAGATGAGAATGAAACCCCTTTGTCTTGATTCATGTTGTAAGCTTGTGAGCGTAGGAATCAAATCTTGATTAGAGTTTTGCAATCAACAGTGATGAGGATAAGGTCAGGTTCATTGACGATTGCATGACTGACACGCATTTTGTGATATGGCACCACCTATGTCCTCACGTGCTTGGCTCACCCACATTGAACCACACCAGAAAGTAACATGTCATATCTATTTAGGTGTGACTAAGGACCTTCCAAGTCACAAACTCCATCCCCATATGGACCATTCTCTTTCTTTTGCTCTTTCTTTCTTTTTCCTTTTTTTCTTCTCCTTCTGGCCAATGGTCATCACTGACACCTAAAGAGAGAGAAACATGAAGAAGAGATGGGTAATATGTGACTAAGAAGTTGAATGAATTTTGTCAAACTAGAGGGTCCCATAGAAGGCTTCAAAGTCCCACTTTGAAGAGGGCCCTTGACTACTACTCATCAAACTTATTGTTATCTTCATCTCTATAGTCCCCATTCATGCACATATATCAAAGCATGTACATAATGAAATAAATAGTAAGTACAGTCCAAACATGCTACTATTTACTCTTAATTGTCTCCATGAGAAAAAAAAAAAAACACCCAAAAGAAAATTTGCACATTTAGATATATATAGTCAAGTGGTTGTTTCTAAAATATTAAAGTGTGTGGCCTCTAGCAAAAGGAAAAGGCAAAAGAAAGTTTTGTATAGTATAGTGGACCTTCGATGGTCCTATTAATAGTGTGTGGCCTCTATTATTAGCTAGCATCTACCAGCGTCGAAACAGGAACAGTTGTTATTTGGGTACGTACTATTTCAAAACCAAATGACTTTTATTGGAGAGTCTACTTTTTCTTGGAAAAGCTAGCTAAACACAAAACAAAAGGTTGGTTATTTGTTTTAACGATTTAACATGTGAGCATTTACCTTCTCCTCCATTGGCCTCTAGTCATCTAGCTAGTCAACAACCTCATTGTCAAATTTGCTTGCATTTTGGAGAAGCTCCAGATTAGGTTTCAACACTAATCCACATAATGTGTTGAGAGTTATCACCCTCTTTGTCCTTCAGCTTCATCTTCATTCATTGCTACCCTCTAGGAAGAGAGGGTTGTAGAGGATGGTATCATGGTAAAAGTGGTTGAAGTCTATACTGTGTGATTGATTCATATTTGGTGTTGATCATGTGCATGGGAACTCCCAATCCCATGGCTTTAGGAGTTAAAAACATTATTATATTATGCCAGTGATCAGTTGTTATCACCTTTGCTAGGGTTCGGTTGGTGTAAATAAATGGGAGTGTGTGAATGGGCCGAGTGTAACATCTGGTTTGCTTTTGCCTCATATTTGATCTTGTCTTGTTTGCTAACTAGTAAAATATTATACCAAAGAGTAAAAGGTTTAGGCCCTGTTCGCTTTTACGGTAAGTTACTTATCTGGGTAAATGCAATTACTTGGGTAAGTTTTTTCTGGAAAATACTTATCCAGGTAAGTGCATTTACTCGTGTTCTTTTATTTCCTAGGTAAATAAGGAAATATGACCATTTTAACCATAAAATATCATTATTAAAAGGAGTATTTTTGTCCTATTTAAGTATTGGCAACTTTCCTTCAGGTGGGAAAGTTATTTATCCACCTACGAAATGGTATCACTTACTCGGGTAAGTAATTAATACCCAAGAAAATAAACTTTCCCTGGTCCCCCGTCCTCACATAAATATGAAAAAAGAACATGGGGTTCTTGGTCAATGGGAACCAAAATCCCATTGACCAACTTTCTCCCCTCTCAAAATCAAAAAAAAAAAAAAGAATGCCCCCTTAGGAGTATGATAGGAAGCAAAATTATGTGCTCCACTTTATATGACACATGATTAAGGTAGGAAGAAGCTTAAGGTGATAAAAATTTTGCATCAGATAGGGGTGCAAATAATAGTCACAAACAAATGGATGCAAAACTGAACTGGGTGTGTGGAAAATCTGTAGCTGGTTCAGATTTGTTTTGCAAACAAACAGAGCCTTATGTTACTAGTAATTGAATACTTTCATTCTGCATAAAACTCATTCAAATTTTAAACTGTATTTGTCCACAATTTTCCATTTCTTAAATCTGTTTTTACACCATATTCCCTACATCAAAAGAAAACTTAGATTTTTTATCAATCTGACTTAGTGTACTTGGTTTCGCTTATCAAGAACATGATGTGTTGAAATATGAAACTAGGGATGGTATCCAATGGAGTGAAGTTGATATGGTAATTAGCTGCAGAATGGCTATTGAATAGGTGGCCCCAAAATTCATAATCTCTAATAGCTACTTTTATCATAAAATCACAAGGTTGACCTTATTTTCTTGTTTTAAGTTGTTTATTGTATAATTAAATTAAGATAATATACGGAGTAGAAAAACTATCGGTTCAGCCTTGTAGATAAACCAACTCTATGGAAGCAGGAGGGTCACTTCGTTTTAATTATTAGTATATACAGTGTAACATCTATATTACTTGATCAATATTATGTTAAAATGTTAATAAACATAAAACATCTTCAGAGTTGCATATCGTTGTCAGATTAAAAAATGTTAAACAAAGAAAGGATATGAAAGTGTTTACACACACGTATCCAATATTTGAGTATATATATATATATATATATATAAAACTATTAAGCGTGTAGATATTTAATTTGAACCCTGGTCCTAACCCAAACCCCAAGCATCCTAGCCTGCTGTTTCATGAGGCTGCAGGGTTTTTCAGGTCAAGATTTGGTAAGGCAGGTGTTTCAGGTCAAAGTTTGGTAAAGCTCAGTCGTAATAGTGTCCATCAACCCAAAGCAACCTTGACCTATCACTGTCGATTCTGGTGAGGGTGACATTTACCGAAGGGTATGAAGGTCGATGGAGGTGCCTACTAGCTCAGTTCACCAGCAAGTCAATTTGAACTTACCAATTCAGTGGTGGTTCATTTGATACGTTAGAAGGGTTGTTCCAATGGAGATGTGGATTCGAGTTCGGCTATTCGCTACCACCAAATTTGGAGGAGAATTATTAGTGTGTATGCCCAAAAAAGATAAAAAAAAAAAAAAAAATTATGGCCCCTATGCGGGGGACTCAGGCATGAGGAGGTGTGTGTATGACATTCCCTTCTTCCCCTTAATCTTTGGGATTGTTAAGGGTATTGTTTGCATGAAAATAAGTTTAATTTTCTTTAGGATTGTCAAAGGGTTTTGTTTGCATATATATTATCTGAATTCCCCTTAGATTGCTAGTGGGTTTATTTGCATGCACAAGGGCTGAATTCTTTGGGACTATTAAAGGGATTTGTTTGCATGTAAATAAGCTGAATTTCCTTTGGGACTGTTAATGTGTTTGTTTGCATTCATGTGAACTGAAAT